CTCCAAAGATGGTAGAGGTGGTTTACTTGACAATTGTGGAAGTGGCTCAATAGGAATCTTCCATGGTGAAATATTGTGGAGGTGGTTTACACGCCACATCAAGCAGGGCATTCACCTTTTCAATACTTTTCTCAGCATCAAATGACTCAGCATCAAAATAAGATAAGCATACGTCTAGTGGATCTTTTGTCAAGGCAAATGGGGTTATCTATTCAACACATTCATCGATGGCATCGGCTAGAAAATAATCATTATTATCTTGCATTGAACAATATTTAAGCGCACCTTTATATTGCCAAAAGATACGTCCATGATGCCTGTCTTACAATTTATGCTCGCATTTGTTGTCGTAAGGAAAGGACGACCAAGGATCACTGGAATGTGCCTCTTTGACTCCAGAACTGGCTCGGTATCTAGCACAATAAAGTCAACTAGGAAGTAAAATTTATCTACTTTGATGATCACATCTTCAATAACACCACGAGGCTATTTGGTTGACCTATCTACCAATCGGAGAATAATGGAAATAGACTTTAATTCTCCTAATCTGAGTTGTAAGTAAACTGAATAAGGAAGAAGGTTTACGCTTGCACCCAAATCTAGGAGAGCTCGCTCTACTTTATGATTCCCTATTGTGCATGAAATTGTTGGAGCGCCTGGATCTTTAAATTTTGGAGTAGTGTAGTGCTGGATTATGGAACTAACTTGCTCAATTAATAGCACCTTCTTAGGAACATGGCTACTTGAACGCCTCATCTGAGTACACATATCTTTCAGAAATTTAACGTAAGATGGAATTTGTTGAATTGCATCAAGCAATGGGAGATTAATCTTCACCTGTTTGAACATCTCCATTATGTCCTGAAGTTTGTTTATTTGCTTCGCTACCTTTGATGTTTCTTGTAGTCTTTGAGGGAATGGCACAATAACATGCCTTTGTTCTGGAGATGGCTCAGTAGTTGGAGGTACTTCTTGTGCTTTTTTATTACACTTATTTTTCTCTTCAAGTCTTTTCTTCCAATTTTCATCCTTCTTTGCTTCTTCTTTTTTCACCTTGTTTTCAACTCTTTTACCACTTCTCAGAGTAGTAATTGCTTGCACTTGTTCATGGTGGACTTCTTGGCCAGTAATGTTATCAATTATACGCACACCTCTTCGATTAGCCACTGGTTGACTAAGAAGCTTGCCGTCTTCTCTTCTATTCAAGGCTTGAGCTAGTTGGCCAACTTGAGTCTCTAACTTGGCAAGGGATTGAGAATAAGACTGCACGAGTTGATTAGTTTGCTCTAACTGATTTGCCATCATTGCCTCAAGCATTGATAAGAATTGTTGAGGTTGACTCAAGGCATTCATAGGAGCAAATCCAGGAGGATTTGAAGTCTGAACTGGAGATTAAAAATTGCCTTGCACCTGAGGTACTTGAGGTGGAGGAGCTGATGTCCCTATGGCTGGATTTCTCCATGAGAAGTTAGGATGGTTTCTCTAAGCCAGATTGTAAGTGTTTGAATACATATTATTCCCTCCGAGCCTTCCATATGTAGCATTAACTTGCTCTTGTGGAATTTCTAAATATTGAGATGCACTTGGACAAATGGACATATGGTGAGTTAGACTGGAACAGAAAGAGCACACTTCAAAGCCTTGAGCATTAGTCGAAGGAGGAGTAAAATTTGACTGTGAAGTCATCAATTGATCAACCTTCTTGGTTAATGCCTCAATTTAGCTCACTAACCCTTGATTTATTCCTGCTTCATTCACACTTTATACTCTCCTCAATATGGTATGAGGTCTTTGTGATACCCCTTGATTCTAGAGCCACGGGTGTCAAGTCCGAGCACAAATCCGAGAGATACCAAACAATTAATATGTAAAACAAACACAGAATACAAAACTGAATGTAAAAATAAATATTAAAGCTGAAAGAATTTTAATTACAAAATCCTCAAAGGTTATTATTGTAAAACCCATAATCCAAAACCTCCATTTATTTACAACTCGGGAATCCATCTAGTGGACCCCTAATAAAATCTCAAATCGTAACGAGAAGAACTGAACCAAGTCCAAAGCTAAATATAGAAAATAATCCAACATAACTGGAGGAGTAAGTGTCTGTATCTGCTCTGCACGTCCAAGCTATAACCCTAGAACTGAAGAACACCTGAAAAATAAGAGAGTGGGTCAGGCCCACATGCAAGTCTTATTCTATTACGATCCATACATAAACCCGATACGCAGATACATCCTAAATAGACTCAACAATATCTAGAGTAGTCCATATATGTATAAGTACACACTATAAGACGCTCATTAATCCAATAAGTCTGTCTCAGCCTGAGTAGAGATACCATGCAAATGGCACATAATGTGGTCATGTGTACCTAGACCTACTAGGGAACAACACCTCTGTCAAGCTATCCATCCTAGATGATATACGCACCCTAACCATGGTCCTGAGACTCAAGCTCATACCATAGTACCATAACATAAATATATAAAGTCCATTCCAAGTGTGTCATTCAAAAGGTTTATTGACCTGACACCTAGTTATAAGTAGGACTTAACTTTTGTAGTTAATCCATCTTATTTCAATATAGGTAGGACTTAGTGTTTGAACTAATCCATCCCTAATATAGGTAGGTCTCAGTGTTTTGAACTGAGCCGTCCCTAATATGACACTATCCTATACCGGTGCATAAACATCCATATAAGTAGGACTTAACTTTTTATAGTTAATCCAACTTATTCCAAAATAGGTAGGATTTAGTGTTTTACTAATCCATCCCTAGTATGCCACCGTCCCATACTGGTGCATACAATCCTCTAAACAACATACTTGTTAAAACAGTAATTGTTCTTTATCAACCATTAGCCAGGATATGCATAAATACAGTTCAATACATATATTAGGGCATTAAGCATTCATGACAGAACCTAAAAATCACCTTCCGAATATTTAAATTGCTAACATGAGTTATAGCATTTAAATCCTCCACATAATCGTGTAATTAACACAATTAACAGAATATACGTATCAATTTATTTCAAACCAAGCATAGATGATTTCAAGAGGTTACTATGCTTATAACTATGTTTAAACATAATTAAACTGTATAAAATTTATATACAACAGAAGCTTCAAAACCTAGCACATAAGTTAATTAACCACAATAGTGTGTCGTTTATAGGTTTTTCCCTAAATCCATCTCGCGCCATCCCTTAATCCAATTATGAATTAATGTTTTCCCCTACTGTTACAGGTTTATTATAGTCACATACACTATTTAAAATAGTTTAAACCAACCGAGAAAAACCTATTCAGTCTAAACAGCCCCTAAGTGTCAAAACTGGACCGTTAAAAATGGAGCAGGCTCTTCTAAACTTTGGAGCCTGCTCTAATTCACCTAGAGCCGGCTCTAGGACCTTGAGAGCCGGCTCCAAGGCACCAAGAGTCGGCTCCACTTCTTTGGGAGCCGGTCGCCAAGGGTTTAGGGAGGCTCCAAGGGTTTTGGGAGCCTATTCTCCCTCCCTTGGCAGCCATCGTCTGTTTTCACCTCGTCTCCTTCGATTCCAGTAATCTCCAAGCCTCTGTAATGGGTTTAAATTCTTATTCTAGTGTACATTTAACATTCTAAATTAATTACTAGGCAACCATATGAATTGTTGATCTCAAATAAGCAAGAATTAAACATATTTACAGAAGAAACCAACTAACAGAAACCTAAAGAATTTTGGTATATCAGTTTCATTCAACGAGATTAATTATCAACTTAAACATGCATAACAGATTTTTTAGGCATTCATTAAACTCCTGGAGTCCATCTAAACATGCACAGATCACAAGTTTAAGGGAAAGAGAAGAACAGAGACTTGCCTTTAAGACTTTGGACTAAAATCTCTAAATATCGTTTCAAGATTTTCAGGCAAATCATTCACTAATCAATCCCTCTATTTCTCCTTGGTTCCACACACATACAACCCCTTCAATCCTTCCTTGGTTCAACCGTAGCCTAAGGCAAAACCCTAGACTTCCTCTTTGTATATCTCTCTATATTCTTCTCTGTAACTCTCTGTTTTTCCCACTACGTGAAATAAAGGTTCTGTCTTTTAAACCCTAAGTTGACATATCATATAGTATTTATAGGCTTCAAATATCACCAAAACCTAATTCCTATACTAACCATAAGTCGGCTACAATGTGAGACATAAAACCCTAACTTACACAACGTAAAACAAATAAACTGTGGACACAAAACTATTCAGTAATTAACTTAATTAAATAATTACCAATTTATCAAATAATATAATTAACCAATATAATTTAACAAAATCGTTAAAACAACCTATTTAATTAACACCAGTAATTCAAAAGTCACAATCACAATTAAGTCAATTAATTCACATAATCACAGTTTAATTCAAGTACTTCACATAATCACAATTTAATTCTAGTAATTCACATAATCACAATAAAATTCAAATAATTCAAATAAGTCAAATAATAACAATTAATTCACAAAAACAAGAAATTAAACAATTAAACCATTAAAATTTCAATTAAACAATTAATGAAATACCAGGACTATCTTTTATAAAATTAGAGGTATTACAGTCTTGCTACTCAAGGTAAGACATGTTGTGTAGAATTATCAGATATATTTTCGAAGAACTAAAATGCCTCCTCTACACTCTTCAACATAAAATTTCCACCACAAAAGGCATCCACCATATATCTTTGTGCCTCATTAAGCCCCTTATGGAAGAAGTTGACAAGTTGCCATTTTGGCATGTCATGATGAGGACACTTCTGAAGGATGTCTCTAAATCTTTCCCAAACCTCATGGAAAGGCTCGTCAGGCCCTTGAGCAAATCGAGTTATAGCATCTCGATATTGAGTAGTTCTTACCATGGGGAAGTACTTGTTTAAAAACTTTTGTTACAATTCAGCCATGTAGTGATGGAGTCTACTGGCAATGAATTAAACCAGTCCTTCGCCTTGTCCTTTAATGAAAAGGAGAAAAGGTGTAGTTGAGCACATCATAGTGAAAGCTCTGGATCTTTATTGTTCTGCACACCTCTGTAAAGTCATCCAAGTGCCGGCATAGATCCTTTTTTGATAGGCCGTAAAAAGAAGGCAATAACTGAAGAGTACTAGCCTTAATTTCGTAGTGAGGGGCCCTCACTTGAGGATACCGAACTGCAGATGAAGAGTTGTAGGCACCTAGTTCGTAGTGATCCTTTAAACAGTGAACTGCTTCTGCCGCTCGTGGATCATCTGCCATCGTTTCCTTTTTAAAGCCTCTAAAATCTTTCTCCAAGTTTTTGAGTCTTTTCGATTTCTGGATCTAACGGATTCCAAACATATAATGTCACCTATAATAATTAAAAGAAAACAGTATCAAAATAAAATAAAATAAAGAAAATAAAATAAATAAATAAAATAAAATCCTAAACTAAGATCCTAATTAAAATTAATTGTAGAATTTCATATTATCTGTCAATAACTAAAACAGGTCCCCGGCAACGGCACCAAAAACTTGTTGTGAGATTTATATGTATCATTCGCAAGTGCACGAATCTTTACAGATAGGGTTTACTTGTAAGGGTGTCATACCCAATGGACTTGTGTAAAATAAGTTTGTTATCATATTTCTTAAATTTAAATTAATTAGAAAGTAGGATAATCGAATTGTGATGTTGAATTCTAAATTAACCAAATCAAAAAATAAAATAAACTAAAGAACAATGATTAAATAGGATGTAGAAAATAGAAAGAGAGAACTAGCGGTATGATTTCACCACTAACGTCGCACCACCAGTCAATTGCATCAATTTATTGAAGATATGTCATATAATATACACAGGAAATTAATCATGGCTACAAGCACACATTAATTCAGCTAGAAAATAATATAATTTAAAGCTAAGCATGAACTATCTTCGATTAGCATAAACCATCTACCTATCTACTTTACTCTATGGTGTCACATGGTCTATCTTTTCTAGGCATAATCCATCAAATCTCTAACATTATATTCAGATAAGAACTATTGTGTAATCATCTCATTCACAACTACAAGAAGTGAATGAGTTGTGTTCAATCACAAGATTAAAATATCTAAGACAAGATAGAAAAATATTTGTAATTGAATTAAAACTCTAAAACCGATTCTTATTGAAAAATCAATTAAAAATCCTATAGATTACACAATCATGCATGATAAAAATTGTTCTCCAATAATTAAATACAATCAAACCAGTGTGCTAAGCTAGGGCTACCTCACAACCCTAGCAAAGTGTTTAGCCAAGCATGACTGGAATGGAATTCTTCATGATTGAGGAAGACATCTTCACTGCCATGGATCGATCTCTTCTTTTTTCTGAATGCTCCTTTCTGATCTCAGCCTCAAGCTCCTCTGTATATCCCTTAATTTTGTAGAGGACCCCCTTTAAATAATAAAAGATCATCCTTAAAGTTCCTTTTTTTTCATATAGGAGACATACATAAAAATTCTGTCAAATAAGGACTCTAAAATTCATATAAACTTCTAGGCCAATTTTGACAAGGTAAACAGCTGTTTTAGGGAATCCTCGTGAAATACAAAATTGTAGCTCTTCAAATTTCCTTTCAATTCATGTACAAATTTAGCCATTTTGACACTCGAGAAAAGAGATATAGCTAGATTACCAAAACGGGTTCAAGTTACCAACTTTGGCGAAAGTTTCCTTTTTGGAGAAGGAGTTTTCCTTTTCTTCTTCTTCCCATTCTCATCAACTTGTGGCTTCTTTTGGAATATTTTCTAAGTATAATTAAACTTGGATCTTCAACAATGCTCAGTCCCACGGAATGTCATCTTTTAAAGCTCAAAATCACTAGTCTTAATTGATTTTACAATTAAAGCCCTGAAATAAATAAAAATAATAAAACAATGTAAAATCACAAATAAACTATTATTAAGAGAATAAAATATGCAAGTAAAGGGGCTAAAATGTATAACATTCAGCACCAAATAATTAGTTTAATCTTCTCGGTAGTTTAGAGAACAATGTCGGGTCCTAAGGCGGCTATCTTGCCCACCTCAATCCAACAAATAGGAGACCTACAAGGTCCGCCATACAACGCCTCAAATGGAGCCATCCAAATACTCGCCTGATAACTGTTGTAGGCAAACTCAATAAGTGGAAGGTGATCCTCCCAACTACCACCCAAGTCAAGTACATAGGCCCGAAGCATATCCTCCAAGATCTGGATGGTATACTCCGATTGGCAGTCCGTCTATGGATGGAATATCGTACTAAGGTGCAACGCTGAGCCAAACGCTGCTTGAAGTCCTTCCCAGAACTTCGAGGTGAACTTGGCATCCCTATCTAAAACAATAGCCACTGGAACTCCATGTAATCTTATAATCTCTTTCACATAAAGTACACCAAGTGCCTCTGCGTCATCTGTTGCCTTAATTGGCAAGAAATGAGCCGTCTTGGTCAATCTATCAATAATGACCCATACGGCTTCATTTCCCCTCCGTGACCTAGGAAGACCTGTCACAAAATCCATTGCAATCTCCTCATATTTCCACTGCGCTACCGGCAATGGCTGTAATAAACCAGTTAGTCTCTGGTGTTCTGTCTTCACGTACTGACAGGTAAGGCACTTAGCCACAAACTGTGCAACGTCCTTCTTCATTTCATTCCACCAATACTGATGTCTCAGATTGTGATACATTTTGGTACCACCTGGATGAACTGCAAAGTGGGAAGTGTGAAATTTCAGTAAAATGTCCTCACAACAAACAGTGGGAACAACCAACAAACCCCTGAACCGTAGACCTCTGTGATACCCCTCGGATTCGAGACACGGGTTAATCAGGCCCAGGCCCAAACTCGAGGGAAATATCAAACAATTAATACTTTAATGAACACGGAATACAAATTGAAATAAGAAATAAAAAACAATAAGCTTGAAGAAACTAGAAATAAAATCCTTTATAATTAAATACTTAAAATCCCATAATCCAAAACTCCATAAGTTTAACAACTCGGGAATCCATCTCTAGTGGACCCATAACAAACCCAAACTGAATGAAAGTAAAATTGAAGATAAAATCGAAATCTAATATCTGGAAAGAAATCCTACGTCGTCGGTAGAATAGAAGATCGTCTCTGCTCAGCACGAACAAGCTCTAGACTGGAAATGTCCGATACCTGAAAAATGATGAGTGGGTCAGGCCCACATGTAAGGTCTATACTACTACTACCCAAGCAAAGACCCGATACGCATGTACATCCTACCCAATCCAACAATAGTTAATAGTCCGTAGATAACTATATATACATATAATCACACTACAGGACTCTCACTGGACTACAGGCCCGTCTCAACCTAAGTAGTAGTCACCATGCAAAAACGCACCCAAAGGTGGGCATGACTACCTAGTCCTAGCAAGGTACACATCAAACCATTATAGCCAGCTATGCATCCCAATACATATACGCTCCCTAACCAACGACTCTGAGACTCAGGCTCATATCGTGGCATCATAAAAATATATTTAAATTCCATTCCAAACCAAAGTGCCACTCAATTATTTATTGATCTGACACAAAATATAGGTAGGACTTAACCTTTGTAGTTAATCCGTCCCTTAATCCAGAGTAGGCAGGACTTAGCATTTTTGAGCTAATCCCCCTAGTATGACACTGTCCCATACCGGTGCATACAAACCATCCATGTAGTATTGATAATATATATATGATAGCATAACATATCAATATCAACATTTCCAATCATAAGCATAACAAGAATGTTTAATTAGCATGCTTGTTCAATACATCCAGTACCTGATTCTCTGACAAATTTTTAAATACAGTGTAGAAATATAACCATCCTGTAACTCATAATAAGCATAATAATAATAATAATAGTATATACATGCTTACTTATAATTACTCCACAACATCCCTCAAGTTGACATAAACAAATTCTTGGTAACATCAACTAGTTTCATATTAAATATTAACTAAATTTCTATTAGTTAATAGACTTAATCCCATACCACTGATATATGATTTACATATCAAACTCCTAATTCAATTGCTAATTTAAAATTAATCAACTTGAATCGTTTACAAAATTTCAACCATGTAAACTTCCTTAAAAGTGTCTTACTGTCACTTATAAATATATAATCATTCTGTAATCTAATAAACTTAAATTAAATTACAGAAACATGATTTAACAATATTACCATTCCTAGATAAATTGCAACTCATAGGGTTATGCACTTAAAACCCTCTGCCTCCAAAAACAGTCCACAAGTTCACCTGAAACTATAATGGTTTAAATCTACCGATTTCTTTGTAATTTATTATGTATCATCATACCCTCAGGATTTCTAATAGGACTTAGATGCTACTGAAAGATCCCTGCATAGCTCCTAATAGCATCTGAAAACACCAAATTCTGAAACCCGTAGCCAAAACCATCACTGGAAAAGCGAAAACTGAAACCTGTTGAAGGAGCCGGCTCCACACAAAGTGGAGCCGCCTCCATTCTATGATAGAGCCGGCTCCATCATGATGGAACCGCCTCTAACTTCCTAAAGAGCCGGCTCCATCCTTAGATTGAGCCTGCTCAATCTTTTAATGGAGCCTGCTTTATTCCTCCTTCCCCTGTGCGTCTTTTTCTCCAGTTCCGGCGGTGTCCGGTAACTGTATTCCTCCAACTAAGTTCATTACTGATTAAAACTAAGTCTTAGGGAGTTCCAAAGTTAATTAAATTCATAACTTATTACCCAAATCATATGGAACAAGAATTACACAAAACAGCTTCTAAGTGGATTAAAATCCATACAAGAACACATACTGTTTCAGGTATCTAGCCCTGCGACCCAGATTTATTTTAAGATTTCCCACTATGTTTTAAAACTATTGAAATTCTTAATCCATCAATTGACATCATTAAAATCATGAATTAAGTAAAACAAAACAGTAAAACAAACAACACTATAAAACGACCAATTTAACAGTTCATAAACATATGTTTATTAAACAATGCAAGCATGCTAACCAAATTTATTTTAATTCTTATTTCATCCTGAGATTGTGTTAGGGATGCAAAGAACACAGGTCAAAGAGGTAGAGCTAGTTATAAAATTTGCCTATGAGACTCGGTTCAGAAATTTCAGCGTCTTTCTTCTAAGTTTTCCCGGCGCCCCTTTGGTTTTCCTTCTCTCTGTTTCTTCTGTCTCCACAACGTGGTCAGGGTTCTAAACCCTTGACAGCCTTATACAGATATATTTATAGGTTTATAAGTTTACAAAAAACCCTAGTTTAATATAAACCCTACACTAAATCCTTAGTTGGCCCATATGAAACCTAATTAATGCTTAATTATGAAACCCTACATACGTGACGTCTAAAACCAAAACCCTTAATTAATCCTACTAACATAAAACTCTATTTATAGAAAATTCATTTATACTAAATTAAATCATTTATCAATTAATTCAATTTCAAGAAAAATAATTAATTCTATTTAAAGAAAACAATTACATCCAATAATTAAAACCCAAATAAATAAACAACTAAATAAAACAATCAAACAAAACAAGTCATTTAAATAATTCACAATTAAATCAACAAATTCACAACTAAATCAATAAAACACAATTTAAATAATTAAATAAATTCCAGAATTATCCTTGTTAAATTAGGGGTATTACAACCTCCATTTGCATGTAAGGTCCAATCCTTCATGGTCTCGCCACTGGAGATCAAAGTGTAAATGGCATCCAAATCCGAATATTGTCTCTGTGACTCAATCAACCGTCTGACAAGAGTGGGTTGAGCCATGAGACTAAACAAGAATGCTGACTCACTGCCATCATCATCATCATTAAAGAAATACAATCATATTTTAGCCAAATCTTCAGGCATCTTTCACTTCCAAATGGCTAACCTGACCAAAGTCCCACGAGATTTCCGGCTTAACGAATCAGCTACCACATTTGCCTTACCAAGATGATACTGCAAATCAAAGTTGTAGTCTTCTAAAAACTCAACCTATCGCCTCTGTCTGTTGTTCAAGTCCTTTTGGGAGAAAAGGTACTTGAGACTCTTGTGGTCCGAGAACACCTCAAATCTCTCACCATACAAATAGTGTCTCCAACACTTCAAAGCAAACACGACTGCTGCTAACTCCAAATCATGAGTAGGGTAGTTAAGCTCGTGAGTATTCAACTATCAAGACCTATAAGCCATTACTCTACCATCCTTCATCAGCACACAACCCAAACCATCACATGAGGCGTCACAATAGATCACATAACCCAAGCCACGCTCAGGTATCACCAACACTGGAGCAGTAGTCAACTTTGTTTTTAACTCTTGAAAGGATGACTTACAGGCTTCATTCCATGTAAACTTGATCCCTTTTCGGGTCAATCTGGTCTAGGAACTGCCAAACGGGAAAAATCCTTCACAAATCTCCGATAATAGCCCGCTAGGCCAAGGAAACTCCGGATCTCAAAGACATTCTTGGGTTGCTCCCAATTCAGAACTGCCTCTATCTTTAAAGGATCAACTAAAACCCCACCTTTTGAGACAACATATCCCAAAAACTTCACCTCTTGTAGCCAAAACTCACACTTTTCATACTTGGCGTACAAACGGTGCTCCCGTAGAATTTGCAACACTATACTTAAATAGACCTCGTGCTCCTCCCGAGTCTGTGAATACACAAGAATGTAATCCACGAAAATTACCACAAACTGATCCAAGTAATCGTGGAAGACGCGGTTCATTAGATCCATGAATGCCGCTGGTGCGTTAGTCAGACCAAAGGGCATGACAAGAAACTCATAATGTCCATACCGCGTACAGAAAGCGGTCTTTGGAATATCCTCTTCTCTAACCCATAACTGATAATAACCTGACTTCAAGTCAATCTTCAAAAAACAACTGGCTCCCTTCAACTGATCAAATAAATCATCTATCCTTGGTAAATGATACTTGTTCTTGATGGTGGCATAATTCAACTTCCGGTAATCAATGCACAACCTTAAAGAACCATCTTTCTTTTTAGCGAACAAGACCGTTGCACCCCACAGTGACACACTCGGTCGGATGAAGCCTTTCATTCTCAAATCATCAAGTTGCTTCTTCAATTCTTCTAATTCAATCGGTGCCATATGATACGGTGCCATAGAGATTGGCATGGTACTATGCATCAAATCAACGGCAAACTCCACCTCTCGGTATGGAGGCAACTCAGTCAAGTCCTCAAGAAACACATCTAGAAAGTCGCGTACAACCACCGAATAATTAACCCTACAATACTCCACATCATCATCGGCAAAAAGTCTAGCCAAGAAGAACGTCTGCCGATCCCGACCCCTAACACCATAGAATGAATGAGTGAGAGGATCACACCGATCTCCCACAAAACAGAAATAATCCCTATCCGGGGTACACACTGAAACTTTACTTCTGAAACAATCAATGACAACTCTGAAGGACGACAACCAGTCCATCCCAGGAATGACATCAAACCCTATCATCTCAAGAAGGATGAGATCGAACTCAAGAACACGTCTGGCAATGGTAATAGAACAACCTCGACAAATTCTACCAAGAGTGACTGAATCCCCAACATGTGTGTCAACACAAAGTGGTCTGTCTAACTGACTGACCTCCAATCCCAATGCCCGTGAAAATGATGAAGCAATGAATGAATAGGTAGCACCAGAATCAAATAATACACGAGCCCAAGAATGGGACACAAGAAACATACCCCTAAAAACTGAAGGACCAGATAGTGGCTCAACTGGAGTGAGTGCAAACACACGACCCTGGGTCCTCTGCCCCTAAGAACCGCCTACTTGATAACCATACTGCTGAGTGGGTGCACTCGAAGAAGCTCCTCTACCTGGTCGGGAACTCTGGGCTGATGGCTGGCTGAGACGGCTGAGGTAGTGGTAGCGGCCGAAACCCTGACTGAACTATGGCAGACTGCATCTGCCTATGCTGTGAACCTCCACCTTTGCCCAAACCACTGCCTCGCTATAGATAATCCTTCACCCTATGACTCTGCTAGCCACACCCTAAACACCCACCAAACGCCACCTGAATTTGAGTACACTGGGACTTATGATGCCCTGACTGCCCACACTTGAAACAAATCACTTGAGCTACCTGAGCCTGAGTGCATTGGGACTTGTAATGTCTAGGCTGTCCACATCTAAAACAAGTAACATTTGTTCTAGAAGACCCCATGGACACTGAAGTTGTGGGTGCGGATCTAACTAACTGTTGTCCCCTAAACCCTTACTGCTCATGCTTCTGCTTCTTACTTGATTGACCTTCGGAGAAAGCACTCATACTCCTGCTCTTCTTATAGGACTCTCTAATAGCTTTACTATCTTTACTCTCGACTTCAACCACCAAGGCCTTTCTCACTGTCTTTGTAAACTTCGTCGGTTCTGAGGCAGCCACTATTAGCCTAATGGTGAGATCAAGACCATTAACAAACTTCTCTATCTTTCCTTCCTCATCATTAGCAATCCCCGGTGCAAACCCCAAAAGCGATGTAAACTTGTTCTCAAACTCTGTAATTGTCATGTTTCCTTGCTTCAACCCATCAAACTCCTTTTTTAGCTCTTTCCACTTAGGTGCCGGAAAATACTTCTCGTAATACAGCTTCTTGAATGTATCATAGGTCATCTTATCCGAATTGTGGGTGTGAGAAATGGTCTTCCACCAAATCTCAGCATCCCCAACCAAATTATAGGTTGCCAATGTGATCTTCAACTTATCTGTTGCCAAATTCATGGCATTAATATGTTTCTCCACCCTATCTATGAAACTATCTGCAACAAGCGGATCTGGACCGCCCTCAATCAAGGTCGGCATCAACTTTACAAACTTAGCAATGTGATAAAGAGTATCATCTGTCTCACTTGTTTTTAGAGGTGGTGGTGGTGGTGGCACAACTTGTGACGATGTCGCACCAGTCGGTCGAAATGCATTAAAAAGAGCTGCCTGAGCAGCCAACCTCAATTGCTCCTTATTTATCTGAAAAGGTAGATTAACGGACCCCCTCGATTGTCTCCCTCTTGGCGGAACCAAGTCATGCAACAAAACATCCTCTTCAACTTGCTCCTTGTACCTTTCTACTGGATTAGAGCTAGAACTTTCCCCAGGATCCCTCCGTGGTGGCATGACGCTAAAGAAAATGAGAGAATGGATTAAAAATGATGACACCAAGATACACACGAGAACGGAATCCTCACATGAAAAAATCTACAGGAAATGACAAGATTTAAACACTTTCCATACTTCTATAACACCCAACTAATAATGAGCATGATGATGCTAACAATAGATATCAACTTTAACAATTAACTCATAATCACATAAATAGGTAAACAAACAAGCAAGTAGACATGCTTCTCAAATAATTTAACACCTTGCGCATAAGTAGATAAATATGCAATTCAATTTCCCCATACAACCCTGGGTAAGCCTCTACCTGTCGTCCTAACGGTATTCGAACCATCGCTCTGATACCAAATTTGTAACGACCCGAAAAGACACCAAAATAATAATAATAAAATATATAAAATTTTGGTATGACCTCCGCAGAAAAAGTTCCTCTACAACTTGTTGAAATAACAAAAAAGATGCAATGGCCTTACTGGACCTTAAAAATAACCTATCATGTCCCAACGCACAATATAATTATTATATCACATTCATAAAATGATTACATACATATTAAAAAATCCCCTTCCTCCATCTCATCCAAATAAGGAACACACCTTACTTACATCAAGTTACAGTCCATAAATGTAGCTAAAATTTTAAAGTCCATAGCATACAACATTATAACAATTAAATTAAAGTTTCATAAAATAGTTAAGATTACATTTACAAAATATTAGAGTTCTAATATAAAAGATAGCAAAATAAAATAAATCTTCAATCTCGTCTAAACTTGTGGCAGATCGTCATCCACCACCTCTTTTCCATATCCTGAAAATTGTTAAAAATAATTGGGTGAGCATAAGTTCAGTAAGAAGTGTCTAAGACACCCTTCTTATGACACCGTGAATCCACATAAGGAATGAGTAAAAAGGAACGGGGTCATACCATGGGAAATACATATTCTCAATCACAACAACAAGTATGTAGCAAATTTCAACCAATCACAAATTTCCCACAATGTCATGAAGTGCAATGTTATGCAAATATCGCTCCCCATTTCTGAAACATTTCCGTTTCAACTTCCAAACCGTTAGTGTAATCCAACCCAAGGCACCCCCCAAGGCGTCACGAATGGAGGGTTGCCTAACTATCCACGACCACAAGGCAGGTCTAAGGCATCGCATCCGGCCTAGTTAGCTCAACCATACTCCCTTCTAGACTACACTAACAACACGGATCACTAGGCGCCTCCTAGGCATCCGGTTTTCGCAAACACTTTGAGAAATACTTTCCCAAAAATTTATTTCCTTTGTTTTTTAAAACATTTTTTCCTTTTCTCTTCCCGATGGATGCATAAATGCTTCATGCTTCTAATCATCAATTCAACTATAGGCTTTCACACATTCCATTTACATCATCATCACAATTTAATAAGAATTTCTAAACATTCATTTATTTTATTTATTTATTTATAACCATAGCATCAATTTTTCAAAGTAATAAATAAATAATCATAAGGCATACAATATGTCAACACTAAGCATGCTCATTCACCTTAATGAAAATAGTCATGTATATGAATTCAAATAGCACATGAAACATATTTATCATTTTGATTACTCATACTTACAACAACCACAAACTAGGTAACCAAAATTAGCATGCTTAGGATAAAATTTAAGGGAAAAATTCACAAAAGACCCAAGAAGTTGTAGATTAGAACACCCCTACCTCAATGGAAGTGAAAACCCCCAAAATCCCCAAATCCAAGCCCTAATTTCAGAATCCCTAGGCTTGGCTAATTGGTGCTTGGCTCTTATCAAATTAACGGCCTCGACGAGCTCTCTGACTTTGCTTCACAAGGTTCTTGTAATGACCCAAATCCTCATGGATCCGAATCATTAAACGGGTCCTTACCTGACCCGGAATCATCCAAGGGTAATACGGTCCTTTCATGTTAATCATGGTCCAAAAAGTGCAAGATGGTAATTTGCTACAATTTAAGTAGTTTTAATATTCAAAGGGTATAATAGTCATTTACTTGCATCACGTAATAAATAAAATAAGGTCCGAGACAATATAGTCTTTTTGGTGGTTAAAATATAATTAATGCATTTTATTGGGTCATAAAATAATTATTCCCACCAATAATTTGGTGCTAGAGAGTAATTGGAAAAGCTAAATAAAAAAATTATATGTGGAACAGGAACCGGTTGACGTACATACATTATACGTCAGCTGGTTTGGGTTATGAATAGTGAAAAACCCACTGCCGAGATATCGGTCGACGTGTGGGATGCTACACGTTAACTGGTTTGGAACGTGCACGGTGAAAGGCTTACTGTCAGGATACCGGTCAATATGTGTGTGATAACCCAGATTTTTTTTAAAAAAAAAAAAAATTAATTTATAATTATTTTTGAATTCAGTTCAGTGGAGGTGTAATAGTAATTATTTTTTTATATAGTTTATATGTGTGTATGTGTGTGTGTGTGTGTGGTGAGGGAGAGAGATTTGTCTACTGAAAGGTAAAGGTGCCGAAATGAGAAAAGAGATAAAGATGGATTGTAAATATGGTGTGGGTCCCATTTGTCTTTGGCTTCACGTGGGCTTTATTTGGTGAGATTGTGTTTCTTGTTTGTGAAATGAAAAGAAAAAGAAAAAGGAAGTTGGTGTGATGTAGTCGTGGGGCCCACAGAAGATTTGTTGAACCAAATTTCTTGGCTTTGAATTATTCACGTGGTCTTGGTTTTTTTTTTTTTTTTTGGTGGCTGATGGAGTTGTTAGGTGTATATTAGGAAAGTGAAGATAAGAAATGAGAAGATAAGGAAAAGAAAAGGTAGGTGGCGGGGTCCACTTATTTATTATTTGTTGGGTGAGTTGTATGGTTTGGGTTGGTGTAAATTGCCTATTTATTGAAGTATTGGTCTTGAGTGTTTCATGTACTAAGTGAGACAAATTAGAGAATAGAAAGAGAGCCGAGACAGAGAGTTAAGAGAGAGAAAAATAGAGTGAATTGAGACAAAGAGAGTTTGAGCAGACAGTGAGTGAGTCGAGAGTTGCAGAAGGCGCAGTAGAAGCTTGGAGACTTGATGATCCAGTGAGAAAATTCTTTTTCAGTGTAGGGTTTTCTATACCTTGAATGGCATGGGGAGGTTTTGCTTAAATGTTTTGATTAAATGTTTTAATTAAATGCATATGTATTTTGTTTATACTCACTTGTATATGTTTATTTTGTGAAGCTATTTTGTTAAACCTCCATGAAATTCTTGTTATGGTTTTTCCTACTGGGACTTTTGTCTCACCACCCTCCAGTTTCAGGTACCGAAGATGAATGAGGATTACTAGAGACTGGCTTAGGATGAAGAGTTGGCGTTGCGAGTTTTATTTTTATTATTTAGAGAATTTTTTTGTATATTTGAGGCAATTGACTTTGTATAAAGAGAGGGAAAATTTTATGATCTTGGGTATATTTTGATGTATTTGAATTGAAAAAATTAAGGATTTTGTTAAAATTTTCGGGGCGTGATAAAATGGTATCAGAGCTGTACCCAGTCGGAAGTGTGAGTGTAGTGATGATGTAGACGGGTGTGTGTGGGCGAGTGTGTAGCACTGGTGAGCTACCACTTGTAGCTGGGTGTGTGTGGGCGGATGGCGGTCACTGGCAGCTACTGGGATGGTTGGTTAGTGTGGTTGGGCAGGTAGCCCAGATTTGAGATTGTTTGTTTTTTTAGTGGGTGGGCGGGTGACGCATCTACTTGCTACCACAATGGTTACGGAGTGTATGGGCGGGTGACTAGCACTGTCAGCTACCACAACGTCCCACAAATCACTGTATCTCACATCGCCTGGGGTAAGGATTTGGATTTTGGTTTTGTGATTGTTCGTGTTTTTGGCTCTACGAAGACTGTTGGATCTGAATTTCGGGGATGAAATTCTTTTTAAGTGGTGGAGATTGTGATAACCCAGATTCTTTTAAAAAACAAAAAAAAATTAATTTATAATTATTTTTGAATTAAGTTCAGTGGAGGTGTAGTAGTAGTTATTTTTTTATATAGTTTATGTGTGTGTGTGTGTGTGTGTGTGTGTGTGTGAGAGAGATTTGTCTACTGAAAGGTGAAGGTGCCAAAATAAGAAAAGAGATAAAGATGGATTGTAATGATGGTGTGGGTCCCATTTGTCTTTGGCTTCACGTGGGCTTTATTTGGTGAGATTGTGTTTGTTGTCTGTGAAATGAAAATAAAAAGAAAAAGGAAGTTGGTGTGATGTAGTCTCGGGGCCCACAGAAGATTTGTTAAACCAAATTTCTTGGCTTTCAATTGTTCACGTGGTCTTGGTTTTTTTTTTTTTTTTTTTTTTTTTTTTTTTTTTTTTTTGTGTGGCTGATGGAGTTGTTTGGCGTATATTAGGAAAGTGAAGATAAGAAATGAGAAGATAAGGAAAAGAAAAGGTGGGTGGCGGGGTCCACTTATTTATTATTTGTTGGGTGACTTGTATGGTTTGGGTTGGTGCAAATTGCCTATTTATTGAAGTATTGGTCTTGAGTGTTTCATGCATTAAGTGAGACAAATTAGAGAATAGAAAGAGAGCCGAGACAGAGAATTAAGAGAGAAAAAAATAGAGTGAACTGAGACAGAGAGAGTTTGAGCAGACAGTGAGTGAGTTGAGAGTTACAAAGGGCGCAGCGGAAGCTTGGAGACTTAATGATCCAGTGAGGAAATTCTTTTTCAGTGTAGAGTTTTCTATACCTTGAATGGCATGAGGAGGTTTTGCTTAAATGTTTTAATTAAATGCATATGTATTTTGTTTATACTCACTTGTATATGTTTATTTTGTGAAGCTGTTTTGTTAAACCTCAATGAAATTCTTGTTATGGTTTTTCCTACTGGGACTTTTGTCTCACCACCCTCCAGTTTCAGGTACCGAAGATGAACGAGGATCGCTAGAGATGGGCTTAGGATGAAGAGTTTGCATTGCGAATTTTATATTTATTATTTGGAGAATTTTTTTTTATATATTTAAGGCAATTGACTTTGTATAAAGAGAGGGTAATTTTTATGATCCTGGGTGTATTTTGATGTATTTGAATTGAATAAATTTAGGATTTTGTTAAAATTTTCGGGGCATGACAAAATGGTATCATAGCTGTACCCAGCCGGAAGTGTAAGTGTAGTGATGATGTAGACGGGTGTGTGTGGGTAAGTGTGTTGCACTGGTGAGCTACCACTTGTAGACGGGTGTGTGTGGGCGGATGGCGGTCACTGGCATCTACTGGGATGGTTGGTTAGTGTGGTTGGGCAGGTAGCCCAGATTTGAGATTATTTGTTTTTTTTAGTGGGTGGGCGGGTGACGCATCGACTTGCTACCACAACGATTACGGAGTGTGTGGGTGGGTGACTAGCACTGTCAGCTACCACAACGTCCTACATATCACTGTATCTCACATCGCCTGGGGTAAGGATTTGGATTTGGGTTTTGTGATTGTTGGTGTTTTTGGCTTTACGAAGACTGTTGGATTTGAATTTTGGGGACGAAATTCTTTTTAAGTGGTGGAGATTATGATAACCCAGATTTTTCTTTAAAAAAAAAAAAAATTTAATTTATAATTATTTTTTAATTTAGTTCAGTGGAGGTGTAGTAGTAGTTATTTTTTTTATATAGTTCATATGTGTGTGTGTGTGTGTGTGTGTGAGATTTGTCTACTGAAAGGTGAGGTGCCAAAATGATAAAAGAGATAAAGATGGATTGTAATGATGGTGTGGGTCCCATTTGTCTTTGGGTTCACGTGGGCTTTATTTGGTGAGATTGTGTTTGTTGTTTGTGAAATGAAAAGAAAAAGAAAAAGGAAGTTGGTGTGATGTAGTTTCGGGGCCCACAGAGGATTTGTTGAACCAAATTTCTTGGCTTTGAATTGTTCACGTGGTCTTGGTCTTTTTTTTTTTTTTTTTTTTTTTTTTTTTTTTTTTTGTGGCTGATGGAGTTGTTTGGTGTATATTAGGAAAGTGAAGATAAGAAATGAGAAGATAAGGAAAAGAAAAGGTGGGTGGCGGGGTCCACTTATTTATTATTTGTTGGGTGACTTGTATGGTTTGGGTTGGTGCAAATTGCCTATTTATTGAAGTATTGGTCTTGAGTGTTTCATGCACTAAGTGAGACAAATTAGAGAATAAAAAGAGAGCCGAGATAGAGAGTTAAGAGAGAGAAAAATAGAGTGAACTGAGACAACGAGAGTTTGAGCAGACAGTGAGTGAGTCGAGAGTTGCAGAGGGTGCAGCGAAAGTTTGGAGACTTGATGATCCAGTGAGGAAATTCTTTTTCAGTGTAGGGTTTTCTATACCTTGAATGGCATGGGGAGGTTTTGCTTAAATGTTTTTATTAAATGCATATGTATTTTGTTTATACTCACTTGTATATGTTTATTTTGTGAAGTTGTTTTGTTAAACCTCCATGAAATTCTTGTTATGGTTTTTCCTACTGGGAATTTTGTCTCACCACCCTCCAGTTTCAGGTACCGAAGATGAACGAGGATTGTTAGAGATGGGTTTATGATGAAGAGTTAGCGTTGCGAGTTTTAATTTTATTATTTGGAGAATTTTTTTTGTATATTTAAAGCAATTGACTTTGTATAAAGAGGGTAATTTTTATGATCCTGGGTGTATTTTGATGTATTTGAATTGAATAAATTGAGGATTTTGTTAAAATTTTCGGGGTGTGACAAAATGGTATCAGAGCTGTACCCAGCCGGAAGTGTGAGTGTAGTGATGATGTAGACGGGTGTGTGTGGGCGAGTGTGTAGCACTGGTGAGCTACCACTTGTAGCCGGGTGTGTGTGGGCAGATGGCGGTCATTGGTAGCTACTGGGATGGTTGGTTAGTGTGGTTGGGCAAGTAGCCCAGATTTGAGATTGTTTGTTTTTTTAGTAGGTGGGCGGGTGACGCATCGACTTGCTACCACAACGATTACGGAGTGTGTGGGCGGGTGACTAGCATTATCAGCTACCACAACGTTCTACATATCACTGTATCTCACATCGCCTAGGGTAAGGATTTGGATTTTGGTTTTGTGATTGTTGGTGTTTTTGGCTCTACGAAGACTGTTGGATCTGAATTTCGGGGACGAAATTCTTTTTAAGTGGTGGAGATTGTGATAACCCAGATTTTTTTTAAAAAAAAAAAAAAAAAAATTTAATTTATAATTATTTTTTAATTTAGTTCAGTGGAGCTGTAGTAGTAGTTATTTTTTTATATAGTTTATATGTGTGTGTGTGTGTGTGTGTGAGAGAGAAAGAGAGAGAGATTTGTCTGCTGAATAGTGAAGGTGCCGAAATGAGAAAAGAAATAAAGATTAATTGTAATGATGGTGTAGGTCCCATTTGTCTTTGGCTTCACGTGGGCTTTATTTGGTGAGATTGCATTTCTTGTTTGTGAAATGAAAAGAAAAAGAAAAAGGAAGTTGGTGCGTTGTAGTCGCAGGGCCCACAGAAGATTTGTTGAACCAAATTTCTTGGCTTTGAATTGTTCACGTGGTCTTGGTTTTTTGTTTTTTTTTTTTGTTTTTTTTGTGGCTGATGGAGTTATTAGGTGTATATTAGGAAAGTGAAGATAAGAAATGAGAAGATAAGGAAAAGAAAAGGTGGGTGGCGGGGTCCACTTATTTATTATTTGTTGGGTGAGTTGTATGGTTTGGGTTGGTACAAATTGCCTATTTATTGAAGTATTGGTCTTGAGTGTTTCATGCACTAAGTGAGACAAATTAGAGAATAGAAAGAGAGCCGAGACAGAGAGTTAAGAGAGAGAAAAATAGTGTGAACTAAGATAGAGAGAGTTTGAGCAGACAGTGAGTGAGTCGAGAGTTGCAGAGGGCGCAGCGGAAGTTTGGAGACTTGATGATCCAGTGAGGAAATTCTTTTTCAGTGTAAGGTTTTCTATACCTTGAATAGCATGGGGAGGTTTTGCTTAAATGTTTTAATTAAATGTATATGTATTTTGTTTATACTCACTTGTATATGTTTATTTTGTGAAGCTGCTTTGTTAAAACTCCATGAAATTCTTATTATGGTTTTTCCTACTGGGACTTTTGTCTCACCATCCTCCAGTTTCAGGTTCCGAAGATGAACGAGAATTGCTAGAGGCGGGCTTAGGATGAACAGTTGGCGTTGCGAGTTTTATTTTTATTATTTGGAGAATTTTTTTTTGTATATTTGAGGCAATTGACTTTGTATAAAGAGAGGGCAATTTTTATGATCCTAGGTGTATTTTGATGTATTTGAATTGAATAAATTGAGGATTTTGTTAAAATTTTTGGGGCGTGACAGTGTGGGAAGCCACATGTCGACTGGTTTACGCAACTCGGTCGACGTATGGAATTTTACGTCAACTGGTTTGGGTCATCCTCACTCATTGTCACTGAGATACACCAACTTTGAAAGCCAATCACCCATATCACTACACTCACGTACATACTTAAATACATTTCAACATCCACAATAACAACAACTACAATGTTAACATAATTTACCACACGTTACCAAAATACCCTAAAGGATTAAATGATGGTAAAACTTAATTACATTACCCCACTGGGCATGTACATGCTAAAATCCAAATATTTTACATGTTGCAAAAGTAATACATTCTAAGTCAACATCTTTACAAAATAAGTTCAAGCTCTACAAAAAAAAAACATCCAGAATGCTTCCTAAGTGCTCTCAAGCATGAGGTGGATTATCATCCGCCAACTCCTTGCCGTGACCTGAAAAAAAATTAAATATGGTGGGGTGAGCAATTTGCTCAGTAAGTGGCGCCTAAGACGCACCTCTTGAGTCCCCGTGAATCCAAAACGAAGAATAGAACCATGGAAATTGGGGTCATACAATGTCAGGAAATTACAACATGGTTTCCAATCTCAACATAAATAATATGATTCAATGGGGATGCAATGCATGCCAATGTCGCTCCCCATTTTTCACAATTAAAATCATCACTTTCAAACTGTTAATATAACTCACCTTTTGGTAACCCCGCAGCGACACGAGAGAAGGATTGGCTAGTGTCCTTGACCCTTGGTACCCCCGCGGCGTCATTATGGGCCCAGCTAGCTCAATCACGCTAGGGCGACTCCCTAATTCCCTCTAAACTATATTAACACTCCGGCCCTTTAGTACCCCCGGGACAACCGGGTTTTCTCAAAACCGATTCAAAACAATTTTCTCCCGAAAATCCCTTTTCATGAAACCCAATGACTTACATGCATGTCTCATACTTTTAATGTTTTTACAATAAGGGATTTTCACATAACACAACGAACATGCCTTCATCCATCATTCATAGCATATAAACAACGTAATAAGCATAGAAATTCATCATGTCCTCACATAACCACATATACACAATTAAATCATTTTAAACTACAATTAGCACAAATAAGCATGTTAAGTCACAATTCAAATAATTTGACTCACAAAAGTGCAAGAATATGCGGATTAGGAAGCCCCTGCCTCAAGTTTGTGCAAAACCCTCAAAATGGGTTCCAAATTTTGAAATCCCTATGGAGGCCCTTTGCTGAATTTGTTGGTACTCACGCGTAGAGTTCGTCGTGCTCTCCATTTGCCTCAAACGGCACATAAAACTTCCAAGTAGAGATAAAGGAATCAAAGATCAAAGCTTTACACAAAATAAAGAAAAAAAAAGCAAAGAACTAGAGAGAGAGAGGGAAACTTACGGGAGCGAGAGAGATAAGAGACCAAAAATGTGGTCTCTAGAATATGAATGGGATAGTGGTGGGTCCCGCCACCACTTTTATTTTTCTCTTTTTCTCTTTGCTCTAATTTACACCACATGAATACATGTAACACACCATTATACAAATGATACATAGCTCACATAATTCAAAATGTAGGAAACGCAAATGGACTCAACTAAAATCCCATACGAAAAACGTGAAAAGACAAAAATGCCCTCACGATGATAAAATTTCTGAAAAATTAAAAAAATGCTAAAAATCAGAAACATCACATTTCTACCAAATTCCAATTGGTATGAGAAAGATCAAGCCTTGAAATTAAAAAAAAAAAAAAAAATGGAAGCTACTGGACTAGACGAGAGAGAGATACGCAGAGAGAGAAAAGACTGATCTGGTCAATGGCCATTAGGCCTTTTGTGATATTTAATATATTGGTGGGGCCACTAACTTTTTTTAAAAAATATCTTACAATTTAACATATATATATATAATCATAAACTTTACATTAGGGTTGGACCCCCATTGCTTGTCCGCTAAGTTCCTTCCATATGAGTTTGTTTCCATGTACAACTCTACCATATTTAGGCAGATAAGTTACAGTAATGTGGATTCTTCTAAGAGTTGGTGGATTCACCTGCTGAACAGTAGCCCGGAGTCCTTCATTCTCCTCGCACAGAGCATTGATTTGTGCTACATTAGCCTCGTTGGCTTGCTTCCAAGCATTGATCTACTCGGTGCTAGCCTCATTGGCTTGCCGTAGGATGTCAATCTGTGTTTGTATCTCCTCGCACACTTTTTGTATGATTTCCTGTTGATGTACTTGTGTGGCATCTACCCTGTTGCCATTCCGTAGCGATGTCGCATGAAAGAAATAGTGAAAGGCTTTTTGTAAAGCTTCCCACAGATGGCGCTAAAGTGTAAGTGCAAAATTCAACACCAAAAACACTATAGCAAAGATAACGTTACTGAATTGAAATAATTTAGATAGAAGAAAATCAGATTGCTGAAGATTGATGTCCTTTTCCTTCTTATTGATCTCTTATTTATATGTGTTTACTGAGCTTTTCGTAGGGTTGTTATTGACAGTTTTCTATGTGGGTGATCAAGGGCCCTATTTCTTTGTGATGAATGGCGTTATGGGTCGTTTAATGCCCTTATCCTAGGCCACGTTCTTCTTGGGCTGATTTGAATGTCTAAGTGCCTGTCAATGGTGGGCTTTCGATGGTACTGGATTGTTGGGCCGCTAATTCAAATGACGGGCTACCCTTGTTTCATGGACGCGTGGGTGTGCTGTGATTGGTGGAGAAATTTCCCTCCACACTGTAGCTCTTGATAATAATATATGGCAAAAATACATTAGTCCAGTTTTTGTGCCATGGAGAAAAAGTATGCGAAGGATCAATCAGTGCCTCCATTTTTCAGTGCATTTACTCCATGAAATGAGCTTTTGTGAATACACATCATATTGACAAATTAGATTGAAGCCATATTACTTGGAATTGAAGGCTAGAATTTAGTGTTATGACGTGGGGTCTTTTTATTTTAACACTTCATATTTAAATTTTTATTATTTAGAACTACATAAACAATTTTTATTTTATTTTATTTTATTTTTTAATTTTTAGAGAATTATAAAATTTGTTCTCTGGTAATATGTCCTTCTCTAACTTTATTGGCCGGGAATCAGGTTGCTCGCTTAGTGGCACCCAAGTCCCAACCCTAAACATTAACTTTTCCAAACAACAATGGAATCTAGGAACCCAATTCAAAACTGATCCATTGCTAAGATTGAGAAGCTTTGCACATAGCAAGGTTAACCACCAACATTTCCTCTGAAACTTGCAAACGAAGAAGAGGCTGAAAATTGCCTTCCATAAACAACCCATTTATAACTAACATAACAGAAGGTGTGTGCCCATTGTTCCGTCGGTGACTCGGTGGTGGCGCTTATGGCATGGTTTGGTAAGAACTTTCATACTCCTGTTCGAATCCATGATTATTATATGTGTATCTGTATACATGAATATGTTAATTCTGTTGTTTACATTTTATAAGATTGAGATTCTTAATTTTTTCTTGATTGGTTTAGAATCCAAGTAGGTTGTGGAGAATTCGAAGATTTGAGTTTGATTTGTGTAGGATTTTTCTTACTTTTTTATACTCGTTTTGCTTAGAATTTGAATCCTCCGTGATACAGAATGTGAGCAGTAAAGTGAGAGCGAATTTATGTTTTTGGGAGCAAGCATCTTGGATTTCATTAGGTTTTCATTTTAGAGTTGTATTTCGTTATAAAATTTCCTATTAGTCAAGTCTTGGGCTACAAGAAATTGTTGTCAATTGGGTGTAAGACTAGATTGAGAGAGATATAGTGTAATGAGAGGGTCTCTAATCCTCTACCTCACACGTCCGGTACAAAGTAGGTACACGATACCGGTGTTGGCGTAGGTCAGGTTGTGTTGAACCACATAAATTTTGTGTGTATTGTGTTATTGTTTATTCTTTTTGTTGGACCTCCATGTTTGTACGGTTCCGCTGTCCCAACAATGGAAATTTCGATAATCACCTATATATATGAAAACTACACTTTTAATCCACTTTCTCTAGAGATGTCAAATTGAGTCAAAATAACCCACCCTGCTTCAACTGAGTGGATGTAACTTGGGTAAGAATTGTGCAATTACTCTCCTGTTTAGACTGCATCTTCAAAAATTGCACTAGCTACTACAAAAGGCATGCCAACACTCCCTTAACAATACAGACACAAATCAGAAGTAACAAGAAGAGCTGTGATTTTACATTAAGTAATCATGCAAATACATTCCAGTACTACATTAAGAAACAGTCCACACATAACTTTGCCTCTATATTAATATACACATACAAACACATTGCTTATTTGAAACAGAAACCTAGTTATGTTTTTTGTTGTGCTAAGAAAAAAAGAACTAAAAAATCAGCACTTGATTTCCTTAGTAAGATTGCTTTTGAGAAGGGCGTCTTTAGTGCTTTTCAATTTGTGAAGAGCATCCCTCATGTTTATACGCCCATCAGGAGAATCAGCGGTGCAAGATAGTCCAATCCCAATGGCCGTGACCAAGGAATCACGCTTTGATTCTGGATTAATTGTTTCACCATCATGACAAAGCCTGCCCTTGTTTAGAAGCAGCTCAGGGTCTGCTACTTGCTCCACACTGGTGGGAAAAGCCATTTGCACCCATTTCCTTAGGCTTAACCCTCCAACGAAAGTCTCATGGGTTGGACTCTTCCCGGTAAAAAGCTCTAGCAGCATAATTCCATAGCTATAAACATCTCCTGAAGTGGATGGTTTCTCTCCAAGACCATACTCTGCATCACAATTCATTTATAGATCAATACAGAAACATGTAAATTAATAAATTATCGGCCTAGCTTTTATTGAAGAGAACTACTAACCTGGAGGTATGTAGCCTATGGAACCTCTGAGGGCATGTGTAGAGCTGATGGAAGATTGATCGCCAGTT